AGATTATACTGACACTGGTTTCAAATGAAATAACTGACAACTTTGGTTTGTATCAATGTATTAATAAGTACATAAAACTCTGTCAAATACGTATGCAAAAATGCTGTTTTTGTATTTTTCTTGAAATCTGTATGCGTGATCACCATCATCATACACAGTATAATAGATTCAAGTAAGATGTTTCAAATGATATAAAAATGTATGCAAACGTACCTTTGGAATAGGTTTTTTTTTTCTCGAGTTTTATTTACCTTAACGTCGACTCCGTCTAGAAAGCAACAGGATTAATCACGCAAGGATTAATCCCCACGCTGTTTTTGTACTTTTCTTGAAATCTGTATGCCTAATCACCATCGTCATACACAGTATAATAGATTCAAGTAGGATGTTTCAAATGAAAATTCATCGTAGCCATTAATTATTATCAATACGGTCTCGGTGTCATTCTTTGAAACGGGACGGTACGTATACTACTTTACCGCTTGAGTTCACGATGTACACTTGACATGGGTCATATCATGTAAAGATAATTTGTTGTCCCGAATTATAATTTGTATGTTTAATGTAATTCTAGAGACAGGTCACTGCATTCAACAATCATGTGGCTATTCATTGTACTGTTATTTACTATCAACTATTTGCCCCGGCTTCACTAATTTTTTAATTAATTTTAATATGCTGAATCATTATTAATGGTATATACCTATTATAGATTTCGATAAATTAATCAACAAATGTCTCATTAATGACACTATCGTAAATAGGCCTATTGAAGTATGAAGCATTATTAATTCTTTATTAAAGCATTATTTGAGCACCTTCATTATTATTATGATTATTAATAATATTATTATTATTATTATTATTTTATATATACTGTATTATTATCAACCATATTAACTTTGAAAACATGAATTAGCCTGTGTGGATAAAATTATCACAGAAAATAAACTTATAATTTATAAGATTATTTTTGAAACAGAATCAAATACAGTACGGTAGATAACTTTTTTATTTAAAAGCAGGTTTTACATGGACGCAATTTTATTTAATATGCTGGATAATATTATTATGTCATTAATCAAACTATCGTAAAACTATTATTATTATTATTGTTATTATTATTATTATTATTATATTATTGTTATTATTCTTATTATATTATATTATTACTATTATTATTATTATTATTATTAATTTACGATAAAACAGGACTAAGGAGATAGGGAGCACACAAAACATTAGGTAGCATTTTGATTTCACAAACATAAGGTGATTTACTTAATTTATCATTATCAGTGGCAGCCCCAAACGGATCGGAAAGTTTTGGGTTGAATCCTGATGGGGACGACTCTTGGACGGAGATCTTGTGAAATTATCCATGCGTGAAATTGGTTCTCAGAACCAGATTTGGACATTGGTATTTGTTTTTTTTCCCCTACTAAATAGTTTATTTTTATTTGGTTCTTGTCGCTGTCTGAAGCACTTTTTAGCTGTCGGCACTGCATGCTCCACAAGAGAACAGTTTAAAAAACGAGTGTAGAATTTAACGATCAGAATTGTGTTGTACGAGTTTCCTTTAAATAATTTTGAATCAAGTAAGTTTGTGTCATCATCATCGTGTCTTTTACTTTCCGTTTAGCTTTCTCCGAGATACTCTGGCTTTTAGAATCTCAAGACTGTAGGCCACCAGTGTTACCTTGGTGGTTCTACACTTCTAATATGCACTATATTTAGGGCTTCAACCTTCCAATCAATTTGCATATGTGATTCACTCCATCATTATCGATATCAAAATTTTATTATGATTAATATAGTAACACCATCACCCCATAAATTGAGTACAGTATTCGAAAACATGTTCTGTTTTCCGTTTATTCCCATAACACAATAATAAATACAAATACCACCGTTTATATTACAGCTAGTACAAGTAGTAAAAGCCATTTATTTCCAAGTGAAATTTGCATGAATGTAATAACTTAAAGAATGACAGTCAATTAGAAACTGATGCCTATGAGGGCGGTATGCAAAAAAAGTCTTGAAACAGAAATAAGATACAGGTCTCCCCTCAAATTAAAGAACACTTTTCTAATTAGAAAAATGATTATAACAAAATAAAACTGATGCTCATTTTGGAATGGTCTTTAATTAGAGGGAGACTTTTATTGATTACTGTACCAACCAAACAGTAATGCATTTTTTAGATGGCATGAAAAATAAATTATTGTTCTAATTTATTTAACAAATGTTAATAACTTACATAAATTATTATCCTAAAAAAGAAAGAAAATCTTCAATTCATAAAACATCTTACACAATATAAAGATTTTAGAAGTATTCTTTGCAAATGAACTTCTTTTAAATTTAGGCTCTGTTTATCAGGAGATACAGCATTAATTTTAGTATACAATTCAATATATTTATGATATTATTCAACAATTTACTTTATAAAATTTTGACTTTTATATTGGTCACATGATAAATTATTCATATTTCTCTCACAGGTATTATATTCAGTTAGATGTAAAAATACACTATTATTAATATTATTAGCATTAACAAAAATAGTAAGTACTAATAACCTTAAGCTGAAAAATTCAGGAATACTGTAGACACCCTCTTCGGGACACTCCTAATAAGGGGGGACACTTCATAGTACTAAAGAATTAGTAATGGCACTGCCAATGTAAGCAACAATAATAAATGATGTTTAAGAAATTTAAAAAATTAAATATTATGGTGGTATTATTTTATTAATATATTACATAAGGTAAAACATCCAGCGACCCTCTATCATTTTATGTTAATCCATTGATCATCTTTACAATGAGTAATTTCAAACAATAAACTGAAATGTTAAATACAAAAGTGTAAAAAAACCAGAAAGATCAACCAACCGATTATTGGGCAATATGAATATTCATGAGATGCTTTATTTCCATTGCCTCAAAAAAGCGAAAAAAGTCAGTACATTAACAAGATTAAAGACTAAAAAAATGAAATTTTCCTGCAACAATCGCGAAGTGAAGAAGAATAAAACGGAAAAACAACAATTTTTTAAAATCTGGAAGAAAATAGAAAAATATGAACTATTGAAGTAAACAAACTGGAATGAGATTTAAAATGTCCCAACTAATTTTATAGTTGTAGTAGTTATTTTTAAAATTCTATTCTTGGAACATAGGCCAGCTAGAGAAAAGGAGCAGGCATTCCAAACAGGTGTACAAGAGAAGCAAATCAACAATTCTAAAACTTTGCGAAGGTATTAAGTACCTTGTATCCAACAAAGATTTTTAGGTACAGGAATTACATTGTCATATTTTTGGCTTAGTGAGAGAGAACCCTGGCAGTGGTGTTTTGAAATCATTGGATACCAAAAATCTATATAATAATCAAAAAAGTTTACTAAGTAAACAAAATGCTTGAAATATACAATATGTTTTTATACAAATGTTTTTCAACTATTTTGTTCACAGAAATTTCACACATACAGAATACATATCAGATACTATATTAATTCTTTTTTGTTTTGCCGTACATGCTATCGAGTCCCAGACCGACAAACACAAAGACAACTCCAATCCACTGACGGTATATAAGTGGATTATTGAAGAGTATAACAGAGCCAAGGATTGTGAAGAACTTGCGTGTTGTAGTGATGATTGAACATGTCAGCGGTCCGAAGGACGATACTGTTGTGAAAATAAAACTCTGTAAGACATAAATAAAACAAGATATTATTAAATGTATAATCAAGATTTAATTACAAAATGTAACAAACTTTTTTTGAAATACAAAACATGTAGCAAAAAAAAAAAGGGGCATCCAATATTTTTTTTTAATTGTTTAGCGAAACCCTCCAACTGCCAATAATGGTGATTTTGAATGAAAATAAAACTTCGTTTTTGGCCATTAGCGCACCCTCCCCATGAAAATGGAATTTCAGAAATAACATAAAGTAGTTTTACTTTTATTATGTCCTCCACTTCTTTGAAATTTCCAAAATAAGATAAATATTTCTTCTTTTAGGGGGTAGGCTTTGAGGAACTTTGTTAAGGCGAGACTTCTTTTAGTACCTTTTATTACTTACAAACTTACTTTTTTAAAATTGTGAGAGGAAGACGTACAAAAAAAGTTGGTTTTCATTTAGTAAAGAATTTTGCCAAAAACATCTATGCGGAGGAGAAAATAAAAATAAAAGTTTATTGATGAATGTAACCAGTGTAGTGATGAGATTGATAAATGTTTTAAATTTATATATTTTTATTTTCTCCTCCGCATAGATGTTTACTAAATGAAAAACCAACTTTTTTTTTATGTCCTCCTCTCACAATTTTTAAAAAGTAAGTTTGTAGGTAATAAAAGGTACTAAAAGAAGTCTCGCCTTAACAAAGTTCCTCAAAGCCTACCCCCTAATTTAGAACAGAAATACAGTATAAAAGCTATCAGTAAATACAACAACACTTACCTGTCCCAAGGCACTTGCTAAGCCAAATAGAAGAATATTTACAATTGTGTTTGGATACTTTGCTACAAATTCCATAAAATGGAATAATTCCCCGGTTACTATACAAACTGTAAATAAAAGTAACAATCTGTTACCTGTCTTCATTTTGTATGTTGAAAATTTTATAAATATTTAAATTCAAATTATTTTCAATGTTTTATTGCAGTTGGTTTTTAAATATAATTTCAAGAAATAAATAAACATAAATATGAATCTTTGATGAATATGAACGCAGGGAATTTAGGTGGCTGAGGGTCAACAGAAGCCACACTGGTGGCTGACACGAGGTCAGATAGTCTGAAATAGGGGCCGAACCAAAGGTCCGCATCGGTCACTGAACTGAATTCCTCCCCACCTCCGGACACCCTGACTGAGCAGCCACGGAGAAGCGACTAAAAATCAGTCTGTATAAGTAATCTTTTCTGAATAGTGTACCAAGTTCTTTTCGTGCACATAAGTAATTATGCACACGTCCCACGGCTTAAAGGTGTCTTACTTAAGGACATAAACAAGAATAGCATTGGCAAGGCAGTGTCGAACGTGTGCACTTTAGCACACACTTCCAATCCTTTTACTTCGCATAATTTTGCCCTCATTACTAAAGTATAGTATGTCTTACAGACATAGGAGGACAAATTGTTAGACCCAACAGATACACAGTGGTGAATACATAACCTCCTTGGCAGATGTAATACATAAATGAGTTGATTTAAAATATTCCACACTTACTAATGAATAGAAAAAGGACGGACCACTTATTAATATTAAACATCATGTGATATGGAGATGTTTTGTATTCGCCACGCATTTTATCTTGAGAGGCACCAGTTAGACCATCTAGGGTCAGGGAGACCATCTGAAAGTATAAAAAAACAGGATGTGAATAACATTATATATGAATATGAAAATGCAAAATTATTCTTATTAAAGGAATGAATAGGGTAGAATCAGCAGGGGTGTTACGTAGAGGCCCAAGGGTTAAATTATCATGTTTTTTCTAATTATTACTTTTTGTGTATGTGTTTTTCTTTTTTATTTTTTAAATTTAGATAGTGAATGTAATTTCGTGCAGATATTGGCCCTTGATGTCATTTGAAGCACAATAAAATTGAATTGAATACCTACCCCCCAATATTTTATTTTCCAATTAAATTAGCAGTCTAGATGTCAGCATAATTTAACATTATATCATAAATAAAGCTCTCACAAGATTGTTATTAAGATTGGGCTACATCAAATCTCACTACATGACATCATATGTTGTGAATATATGAGCTCATAATGGTATGACTACCAGGGTTACTGTGTCTCATTTAAATTTATAAACTACTGTAGATGACACTTATGAAACGTGTCAACAGATCGTAAGAAAAGCAGCTGCTATAAATGGACATAAACTTCAGTGCTTTCATATGCTGTAATATATTTCACATATAATAAATATAAATTTATGTACATAATTCAAAAGGCAATTTACAAAAAATCTTTCAGATTATTCATGCTGCTTTAAAATGTAATGTTGTATATTGAAGTTACAGAAGGATTTCTTTTGTGAATTGTGGCCTTAGAAAAAACAATGTTAACTGGTTCTGTCAATGTAATTATAATTATCCATTAGTCCATCTAGTGTATGCACTTGATTCGTTTTATACTTTTTGGATAAAAAAAGCCTTGAACGATTAATTCAACATTAAATTGCTCTTTTAGTTTTAAAGAATTCAATTGTTACCAATCTTCTAATTATTCAGCTCAAGAATGGAAATCTCTACATTTTCTGCTAGCCAATTAAGGGTCTATGTAAAAAACAGTAACCTTTATGTATTATATTCATCAGTGAACTTAAGAGACAAAATTATATTTCAATATTAACGTAATTGCAAAATTATAGTATTCCAGATCAATAGCTAAACACAGATCCAGTTTTAATGTGTGAAAAATGGAACTGATTATAAATTAAATGAAAATTAAGGAAAACTATATACCAATAAGATCTCTCCAAAACCAAATGCATGATCAGCATTTCCTTTGCTGGGAGAATCCCCTTTGTACATAAATAGTGCAACACCAAAAACAATGAACAACACAAAAAAATACTTGCGAAGGGGATAACGTTTCTGAGCTATTAAAACACCAAGAATCATGACTGAAAGAGAAAAAAAAGCCTACTGTAATAAGTTGTCATAATAATTATTTTAAAAATTGTTTAAAATTGGCAGATGGTAAGGTATGCCACCAACTCAAGGTTGTCAAATTCAGATAGTGGACAGGGGGATCCTGTCATAGCACACTCGTTCACCACATGTTCATGGGTTTGTACATGTCCACAAGAACAAACGTCACCCTTCTTATGAGCATCTATGGATGTGTTCATCTTAAATTTTTGTTCAGTGATGATCTAACAACAGGATTTGTATACTTTGTTCTCATCTTTAACATTGAGTAGGCCTACAGTACTATGTTGTCATGTTTTACACTTCAGTGTTTTTTAAATCCCATATTAACTTATTAAGGCCACAAGTACTTGTGCTATGTATATTCTGTAGTTGAAGTTTAGTCCCACCTGCTGCTGAAACCCACTTGGGTGTGCATTCATGCACCATACAAGTTGTAAATGTCACTTTTTAAACAAAGAAATTTATTGATCGTTAACTTTTATTCATTCACAAATGAAATTCAAAAAATAGCAGCACAGGCTGAATTACAATACAAATCTATAAATGAGGAATTAATTAAATTATCTATATAGAAATTGGATGAAAAAAATGCAAATTGATAAAGTTACCATTTACTATATATAATTATATACAGAAAATGACATATTAAGTAACAGGTAATATACAATTAGATACAAAAAAGGACAAATTAATTTTATAAGTAACAATAAAATGCGGAGCTAACAATTTACCATAATAAAATGGTAATACATATATATGATACAAAAGAAAAAATTTTAATTCTTTATCAACTGTATACTTGCGTATACCTAACAAAAGAAATTTAGGAAGTCTCTCTGCTTTTAGAAGATCGATCACAATAGACCTTTACACAATTACAGTAGTATGCATGCATAACACAGATATCTGGTAAGTGATTTAGCGATAAAGATTACTAACTAAACTGTAAGTATGAAGGGCTCTACAGTATGCCACCATTATAATTACAATCATATCTTTTTTATTATTATAATTAAAATGACCACTGTTATATTTTTTGTTATGAATATATCACCATCAGCAGCAACATCACTTGATTACACTATATAGTAATACAATTAGATTATAGATCAGAGATTATATGCATTGATCTTTCTAAATTTTGTAGAAAATATAAACAGCATGAAATCCCATCATGTGATTATGATAGTTATTTTTATGCTGTTGAAATAATTGATGCGGCAAAAAAATTTTTTTTTTAATTCCCGCATCAATATTCCTCGAATTTTTGATGCGGGCGGGAGTGATAATCTAATAAATTTTTCTATTTGCCCTTAGCTGACTCTGGCTGATAATAATAATAATAATAATAATAATAATAATAATAATAAT